ATATAAAGAATAGAGGACAATGGGCAACAAATTAAGTGCCAGTCTTTGTAAGAATCAGGCAATTAAGAAAAATTCAAAACATGCCCCAAAAAAAAAACCCTCCGACCTAACCACAGTATTTTGAAGGTACCCTCGTCCTGAGTTAGAAATGGCAGGTCTTTCGTTTCTGCGTGTCTTGTAATTCGAGAAATATCTAGATAATTTTTGGTTAGAATAATAGCAAATTACGGAGTTATCTCCCCTTATTTGTTAATTTCTAGTGCATGTCAACCAAATTATATCTTGAATTACCAGAACAGGGAAAGGAAAGGAATGGTATATTCATGCACCATTATACATTCTGAACTTAAATTGATATAAAGCTGAGTGGGGTTTTTTTTGTCATGTTTTCACCACTGTCTGATTGTTAGGCAGATTGGTACTTAAATATATAGAATAGAGAAAAATAACCCCAAAATCAAGGAATACAGAAATGGAGGACTCCGATCAAGACCCTCATATATTAATAGATAACCGAATAGCTTGTTAAATATAGTCAACTTTGGTTGCAACTGTAAAATATTTTTAAAGAAGTGACATCTTTAATTACAGTGAACATGGTATACAGATTACAAAGAGACATTTTTTTTTGTTTTGTGAATTTATATTATATAACTGCATCTTTGGCTTATATATATGAAATATATGGATAAGAATTATATCTTTATAGTTTAAAGGAGCATTAGCAACGAGATATAAAAAACAAATAGAATATGAATTCTTTTTGTTCAATGATTAATGAAAGTGAAATAGTGAAATAATAATTCGCTTTTAGCAGCAAGTTTAGTTCAATTTTGTCAAAATAAGTTAAGAAACATCGCTAATGACTTATTCACTTGCCAGTGAACAATTCAACCTCATTGAATCCGTATTCATGTGACCTTTATTTAACCCATTAGCTAGAGATTGGTTACGCATGTATAAGTCGTGTTCATCCATTAAAAGAAAAAGAATGTCAACATTGAAAGTGAAACAAAGGTGAACCATTTCGTTGACTGATTCGATCCATAAAAGATCATTCTTATACAGGTAAAAACGATGATTAACTTATTTTTTTAACCTATAACATGAAATCAAACAGACCAAGAAAAGTCCAATTGCACGAGGTCTCTATATATTTATAGTTATGTTTGTGTTTATATCGGGTTATGTGACCGTCTGCAGTCTTCGGAGGTCATCTTGATAGTTAATTAGATGGCGTCTAGACTAAAATACAGACGAAAGGATGATATATATTATCGAGCCCAAGAATTGTTAATTGTTTATTTCAGACTTATTGTAATTTGGATATATGTTTTAGTTTGTTATAAATCAAATATGAGAATTTGAGTAAAACGGTGTACATGAATTTGACAGCTAATGCCCCATTAAACTTCAAAATTTTTATGATAAAAAGATGATGGTATTAGGGTTAAATTGTAATTGCCCTGAAGACACATATTTTACCAAACAAACAGAAAACCAATTACCCCATCGGAGAAATAACTATAGGGTTAATCTATTCATACATTATCATTATGCAATGTTCTTTTTCTGTAGAATAAATAAAAGCCGACCCTCGTTTATAAATACTTATCATCTCGTTTCTAAATTCAGATTGTTATATTAGCATCGTAGTTGTTTTATTATATATGTACATGTGCTTGCGGTGTTTCTTATTTATTTCCACTGACCATCGGGTACAAACCTCGCGATTTTAATCATATATTATTTAATTACTATTAATTCTGCCTGATAAAGGTTCAAATGAACCACAGGACAACTCAATGGAACTCAAGTTCCGATGTATTAAGTGAAATTAGCAGGAAATAATCTAAAGATTGTCTTTGGGTTTTGTCTGCCATAATTATTTTTCGTTAACTGTTGTAGTAAAAGAAGCCATTGTTTTTTTTCTTGATTGTTTCACACTTGATCATCCAAGGGCTTATAATAGCTTACTTTACGGCGTGGGTGTTGCTCATTGTCGAAGGTCATACAATGACATGTAGTTTATCACAACTTTGCCCTTTGATCAAAGAAGTTTTAAACGATGTGTTTCTGATTAACCTCATTATCGACATGTTTGCACGATCTTAGATCTCTTGGATAGACGAATAAGCGTCTGACCTGTATATTCATCAATTATCTCATATTCACGTTTGTTGAGATATAACTGAGTGTGGAATCGCATGATAGGTGATTTATACATGGAGAAAAATGCTTAACCGTTACTTTTCTGTCATTGTTGTTAGACAAATCACGCTATTGGGTTTATTGTTTATATAGTTTCACAATATGTAATACCAGGGGCTTACTAGCATGTATAGATATGGGTTTTGCTCATTGTTGAAGGCAATACGGTGACCTATAATAGTCCAAATTGTTGACTTTTTCTGTATATATAGTTGCCACATGGGCAATCATACCAATAATCATCATTTTTTTTATGATTTCGGCCTGTGACTGTTTAGTTTCCTTGTAATGAAAAAACATTACAATAAACGTGTCTGATATAAACATGTATATGTGCAAATAACTGATAATGTACCGAATAATAAGAAATACTAAAATGCATTGGCTGTGATATAAGTATATGACCACATGGAAATGAAAATATAGTTAGGTCTCTCATTAATATTCGCTATCATTTTGGGTACATTTACACCATTGTTTAACACTTTCGCTTAAAACATTTCCTTACTTGATTTGATATGAACAAAATCAGATCTACACCGGACAATTATCTAAATGAATATCAGGATGTTTTTTTTATATGTTTCATCTTCCTAAAATTCATACTTTCAATCATTCAACAAGTGTATATCCAGCGCCCCAGTAAACAAATGTAAGATATATATTTGTGGTGAAGTTTGCACTAAGGAGATGATTACCCTCTAGACGTATCCAGTATCGCTCCTTTTAAAGTTACATAGATAGCAATCACGTGCAAATGGATTTTTTAAAGTCTGTTTGATTTCATATTATATGTTTAAATCATACTAATAATCGATTGTTCCTGTAAAAGAAAGATTTGATGTGGATCGAATCAGTCAACCAAATAGTTCACCCTTGTTTCACTTTCAACGTTGACTTTCTTTTCCCTTTAAAAGATCAACACCCATTTCCAACTAAGGGGTTAGCTTGAAGACGACATGGATACGGATGCAATGAGGTTAAATTATTGACATGAGAGTCAATAATATACCAGCGATTGTTTTGAGCTTATTTTGACTAATTGGGTCAGACTGACTGCCTATAACGAAATTATTTCAAACTTATGGTTGCTTATCTTAACATCCTGAACGAAGAACTAATATTGATGTTCAGATGTCTTCTGTGTATATGTTGTTGAGTTGACTGTTTATTGAACTGAGCTTCCAATATCCATGTTGGTAAATTCAATTTTACTAAATGCATGTTGATCTAAGATAATTCTTTTGTAGCCGAAATGCGCGTCTGGCGTGCAAAATCACAAAAATGTATCCATGGTCTCTTTGATGAGCTTCAATTATACGGCAATTGATTTATTCTTTTCATACGGTTTTTATTAGGACGGATGGAACTAAATATACCACAGAAAACAAAAGACGAGTTGGATTTGTTTTACAAGATTTGCTTGCATTTAGCTGACATAACTTTCTCTTTATTGATTTTGCAATTTAATGGTGTTGTTGTTTTGTCTAAAAAAAAAAAAATGGGAAGTCCCTTATAGAGTGAAAAAAAAAGAAACCATTGGGAAGTCCCTTTTCTTATTTTGTCTCTTTTTGATGAAGCTATGGTTTTTCTCTTTGCTTGCTTATCTTTACGCTCCTTGTAGATATATATGAAACAACGGAATACAAATTATTAATAACAGATAAGTGCAGTCCTATCTTGTACAACTAGTTAACTTGATGACCAGACTTTATGACTGGTGAAAGTTAACTTGGAACAGGATTTATGACAGCTCCGACCGGTCCGTGGACATAATTCATGTTTACTTAACAAGTATACTTGGTCATAGAACTGTTTTTATGACTGCCAGAAAAGCTAACTGCATGAATAACTTAAATAAAAGTTTTGATTTCATTATTGCCTTACATTTACAGTTTAAATTTTGTTATATAGATCTGTTGTCTGTAAAACCGTGAATTGAAAACTGCCCGTGTTCATAATTCTTTTGGTATACGTTAATGTATGGTCTTCATCCTTTAAATCGGTTGTCCTTGAAATCTTCGCGTAAGTTTTATTTTTTAACAGTTACCGCGAAAATATCGAAGATAAAATTGCAGCGAAAATTACCCTGTGTTCAGTATACAAAACACAACATAGAAATTTAAAAACTGAGCAACATGAACACTACAAAATACAGGGGGATCTCAGGTGCCCCGGAAGGGTGAGCAGATCCTGCTCGACAAGCGACACCCTTCGTATTGCTCATGTAAGTACAAACTCGATGATAAGTCCAATTCGGTAGGTCGCATTCGGGAAAAAGGAGGACGGAACTGTGGCTATGACCATTGGAACATATCCGTCGTCATCGGAGAAACAGATATTGCATTACGGCCAACAACTCGTGAAGGGTTATAAGAATCGAAACAGTTTGTTGTTCCATTGACAATAATAACACATATCCTTAATTATATGTATATAGTAATAAATACCCCGTGTGAAGTAACAGAAACAGTTAACATCCACGTGTCCATACACCATAATCGCGATACATATATAATAGAAACTAAACATCCGAATTCTTATTGGTTTATACAATGCTCTCGACTAAAGGTATAAAACGTTACTACGTGTATGTGTTACAACAAATTTCAAAAAGTAACTATATTATCTCGCAGTAGAAATTTAGAAATCATATTTTAATCCTAGACTGGTTATTTATAAATTGCTAATCGATAAATCATTTCACATATTGAGCAGTAACATGAAGCTTTGAATTCATTATAATAGAAATGTATTCCACTATTGAACGTAAGTTATCATATCTTCTTACAGGAATCATGAACAGGAACTTCCAAAATCAGGACAAATGTGACGATGAAGTTTTATTTGGAATAAGGAAAATCCCATACTGGGAAATATATGGCGTAAAACAGTTTCCGTACCGTGGAAGGCGTAAATATACACCATTACTTTATCAATCTATCGATGGAGGTATGATTATCAAAAATGACCTGTTTGGATTGACAATCAGACAGTTTGAACGAATGTATAAAACTTGCTTAGAAAGACGGAAAACACACGAACAATGGATACTTTACCTTAGATATCCTGATAAATCTTCAAATGAATATCTGGAATACTTGCAGAATTGTACAGACTGCAATAAAGGTATTTATTTTGTAATAGATAAACAAAGGATATCGGGTATCCATCCATGACACAAAAACAGTACATGCACAGCAAAGAAAAAACATAAAAAGCAAAGGAATAGCGCTTTTATTGCTTTTCTTCATCTCAAAGTCATAGTTTGTTGTTACCGTAAGTTATTTCCGAAACTCATGACGATAACTGGTGTCTTGATGTTATGCCAATCATGAAACATTCTAAAAAGGGGAAAAAATACCAAGATTGAAATCGATAACATTAAGCCAAAGACATAGACAAAAAGACAACACCATGACCAAAAAGGGTTACGGCAAACATAGTTTTCTCCTTTGAATTGTTTTACATTTGTCATTTCGGGGCCTTTTATAGCTGACTATGCGGTATGGGTTTTGCTCATTGTTGAAGGCCGTACGATGACCTATAGTTGTTAATCATATCATTGAGGGTTACGATATAACATGAAGCAGATTCGCTATACTATTACGACATTCGACCATATTACTTTGTCAATTTGCTATATCACTAAGATACATTTATATACTATAGAGACGTATTGATGTAACATGGAGTTACCTTTTCATACTATTCTGTCATTTTAATTTGTCATGAATATATTCTTTTATACCATAAAGACATCTTGATTTAACTTTTCATACTGATTTGTCATTTTACTAAACTATTATGTGATATTGCTTAATCTTAAAGATACATTTTACACTAAAGATATCTTAATATAACATCGAACATTTTGTTCATACTGTTTTGTCACCTCACTATACTATTATGTCATATTACTATCTTATTATGGTCAATTTGTATACTATACAATCATGTCGATATAACATGGAGCAACTTTTCCATACTAATCTGTCATATGTCTTACAAAAATAAAGTCGTATACTTCAAAGACATCTTGATATAATATGGAGCCACTTTTTCATACTATCGTATTACCTCACTATGCTATTTTGACAGATTACTATATTATAAGGATACATCTTTATACCATAAAGACGTATTGATATAACAGTAATGCCTACCAAAAACTAACGGTGCACTAGAATGTAACAGTTCCTAATCTACTATATGCCTTATAACTCATGACAAGAAAAATTGATATTAAGTCGCATTCAGTAATACGACCAGTGGACGAAATGAACTAAATTGGAAATATAAATAAAGTTTGTAAGTTAACACCGGGACCCGTATAACTCGTTGACATATCTTCCTGGAACAAAAAAATTACTTAATAAAAAGTATAGTTTAACAAATCGCATTTGATTAACAGGTCGAATAACTGATGTTATTCAAACCTGCTGACTGCCATTGACGATTGCCAATTAAATTGATCACGACATGTAACATGGTTTTAATTATTAATTTAATACCAAACAGAAAACAGTAAACTTGCGGAGAAGATGGTATACCGCAATCATGAGGTGCAAAAATTTGTACACCGTATCCGGATTTTGACACTTAATGTCTCTTCAGTGATGTTAGGGATCGAAACGGTATTTGAAAGGCATATATATATCAGGTATCAATACGCCGATTCGAAACCACATAAAATGCAAAATAACTTAAGCATTAAGGTGGCAGTTAATTCTATATGAATCATGAATAAACTCTTTATAAATTTAGCGCTTGCACTGCTACTTTGGCAATAGGTACTATTTCTGTACTAAAAATCTATAGTATTGGAAATTTACTTTCAACATTTAGTACTATGTCTTTACTTTAAAATTATTGTAATATTTAGCTATAGGTACCTGTATTACAAATATTTTTGGTACAGAAATAATACAACAGTGATCACAGTATTCCATGTCTGAAAATTATAAGTTTAAGAGATTTGAAATAGACAAACTTTCAAAATGCTGAAAATGTAACGGTGTAACAAAAAATGTGTAGTACTTAAATTTCAAGTACTGTAAAATACAGGTACATTAATATTACAATAATTTTAAAGTAACACAATTGTACTGAATATTAAAAGTAGATTTCAAACACTACAGATTTTTGGTACAGAAATAGTACCTATGCAAAAGTAGCATGTAAGCCAAAGATTTGAAAGTAAAACATATACCTAAGCCTAATATATGCAAACATTTTGAATAATTCAGAAGTTTATAAAATTCACTTTTTTACAAAAAAATAACAGATATCAAGTATACTTTTTATCAATTTCTAACAATTTGAAGACAGGAAATGTACTACTAGGGGTGATATAGCGGGGGAAAATATAGCCAATATAATAAGCATTGTTTCGTTGGTTGTAAAATGTCATACCAGGCTTGAAATATGAGGAAAGACGTCACTATCGTCTACATAACACTCAGCGTTGGGGCTTTAATTAGAACGATGGCTTTGAATAAATATCGAGGAAATAACCTTCTATGTACGCACGACATTATAAGATTTTATAATAGATATGTTAATAAATGCATTTTTTTGTAGATCACTTGCTTTGGCTCGAAGATAACCCGAAGAACAAATACTTATACGAACACCTAGTAAAAACAGCTGGTACCGAAATCGATATACGAAATAGACAACGACTATTTATCATACAAAATATGATCATAAATACATGTCAGTCAGGTCGTATACAAATATCTAGTGGAAGTTTGGCAGAAGGACTCTACTTACCTGGCAGTGACATAGATTTTATGGAAGTACAGACACACGTAGACGTAATACAGAATGAAAAAAATATCAAACATCCAGTACATAAAATTCCATTGGTTATGGAAACAGATACTGATCATCCTGGATTTGCTAGACTGAGATTGATAGCAGAAATGGATGGGAAACCCCTCATGGCAGAATTTGCCTGTTTCGCAGGTTCCGGCAACAAGCTTTATTTACCAGTAAGCGGCTATTTTGATTTTTTTAAGCAATCTTATAAAAAGATGCCGGTATTTCAACACGGTCCATGTCTATCAGACGTAAGACAGAAAGTAAATTGTGCACCCTGCCTACATAGTGCATATCTACCTTTCAACGCAATTCCATGGTCATCTCGTCATCGAAGGCAATGGCCGTCTGATTTTGTTATAGACTGGTTCATGAATAATGGATGCTTGTTAGTACCAATAGGACCACCTAAGAATATATCGGATAGTGATTATTTATGGAGATTATCTTTCTCTTTTGCAGAAAAAAAACTTGTACATTCATTCAATTTCACTCAACTTTTATGTTACGCTCTACTCAAATTAACATTAAAGCGTATTGTTAACACAGTCAATGATGTCAAAGAGTTATTGTGTTCATATTTTCTGAAAACGGCTTTATTCTGGGTCTCGGAGGAAGTGGATATTGAAACATTTCAACCATCTAAATTGTTTTATTGTTTTTCTCTCTGTCTTGCTAAATTGATATCATGGGTACACAGCAGCTACTGTCCAAACTATTTTATACCTGAGCACAATATGTTCCTAGGAAAGATCAATCAAAGTAACAATAAGGTTCTTCTTCGTGTACTTGAGAGTGTAAAATATGAAGGGATTGATGGATTGATACAGAATTTATTTTTGCCTGAAAATGAAAATTGCTGTTTATCAAGTACAAAGGGTGAACATTCCTTCATTATGTCAGACTTCCTATTTTACAGATTATGTGGAAAGATGGCTCAATCGTCAGACATTTCAGATTGTTATAAAGGACTTGCATTTACTGAATCTTTACCCAAATCCCAATCGTCTTTATTTATAATTGGTGTATGTAAGTATTTTTATGCTGAAATCAGTCAATATGCAGCACAACTACTACCACCGCCAACCACTTACAACATACGCAAATGTTATCATAGACATCTACAAGACGGCATCAAGACAAGTGATATGTCGAGTTGGTTATACTACGCGTCGTTTTATTATGTATCAGGACAGTACAATGAAACACTAAGACTAACAGATTATGTTCGATCAAGATGTACACCGGATTTGGTACCTTTCGGTGATAACTATGATGAAAACGATATTAATAAATACATACAAAATGTACATTCTGCAATGACACTGAACGACAGGATAAAAATAGCCACTGTAAAAAGTCTCTGCTTTTTACGGAATTCATCATTAATACCAGAAGAACTACAGCTGGAGGTGGCTGACAAAATAATTTTTATACCACCTGTTATAATGTGTCACTGTCTCAGATTTCTATGTTATCATCATCTTAGGGATATTGACAACAGACAACAGGCATTACGTGATTTACATTTAACAGTGGAAGAAGACTATTTTGTTCCATCGAATATGAGATCTGATCCATTAACAATACTTGGAGTATGCTATGAAATATCCGGTAACAAGTTCGCAGCTTATCATGGTTATAATCAAGCTTTAAATCGTAGTGGTTGTGTATCTAGCACAGCGGAAGGAAGGAAATCAAACCTTTTTTAGATCTTATATAGTCTTTAAGCATCAACATTATTTGGAGTATGCTAATCGATATCAGTCGATTAAGATACAACATATTTGTGAAACCAAAGGTGGCATCTCAACATTTATAATTGTTGTAATAAAGAAATATTAGCTAACTGTGTATGTAGTGTTCCTTTAAGTTTAAGTACTACAACCAAGACACACACTCATTTGTGCTTAGTTCTTCCGTTGATAACTTTAGAAATTATTACTAAACTAAGGTTGCAACTCCTCCATGCAAAGTTGACCATCGATGATTTTGGCTATCCACTATATATATATATATTTTTGTAAAATTACTCCCTACTATTATTCGTCCTTAGTCTTGAGTTTAAGAGTATAAATGGGCAGTGTTTTAAAGCGTGAGATGTTCTCGACTATCTGAAGTCGACAGATCATTATACTTTATTTGTCCGATATACGAATATCTGTATTAATTTGTCAGCAGTACAAAAAAGGGTGAAATCATCATTTAAAGGCAATAACTCCTTTAAGAAGATAATTGACAATTTCTGTCATGTTGACGTTTTTCTAAATCTTATTTTCACTGTTTCTAATTTCTCTCTATCGAAATTTCCTTAAAATTTCAATGGCAATAACTCCAAAATTATGGAAAGCCAACGGGGTCAAAATTCAAAATTCGTAAATTGTCAATATGTAACTTGTAACTGTGTAATTTCAAAATGCTTAATTCGTAAATTGTCAATTTGTAACGTGTAACTGTTTAATTTGTACATTTGTGATATGTATATTTGTAATTCTTGAATTCGTGATTTGTCAATTCAACATTTGTATATTTGTTTATTTGTAATTTGTAAATTGCTAAATTTTACATTTGTATTTTGTAAATTTGTAGATGTCAATTAGCATCTTTGCTTTTATATTATTTGTAAAAGCGTATTAGACTTGTAAATCGACACTTTTCTAACGCGATAATTGCAAAGTGGGTGATTTGTTTATTCGACATTTGTACAGTCATTTTATGATACATTTTGTATTATGATAACAGATGGCGCCGCTGTCGGACTTCTGTTATCTTTCGGGATGTTACCAGTTTCAAAGTATAGATAACGTGGATGGAGAAATGTAAATTATTTTACAAGTGTACCCAATAATATTGAAGTATACAAACCGTTTATGCTCTGTGTCAGGGTTATTATTGATTTGTCTGACCAAAACAAAGAAGAACCCTAACACTGTTCTTTATTAGTGGAAATGGTGACAAGATAGGAAAAAGGAGGAAAGGTGGACACCTCAATTTAAGGGGTAAGGGGTTGGGGGTTGGGGGGTTGGGTTACTTGCCAGCCTTTTGGGTATAACTGTGCCGAATGCACTTGTCAAATCATACCCTGTGCTTTACAGAAAATATTGGAAAACATACCCTGTTCTAGACAAGCTTAGAAAATACAAAGAGGGGCGGAAGGACCTTTTTTCGGGACGTCGGAATTGGACCTTTATTTTCAAGGGAATTCAGTGTTTATCCCTATCAGGGTTCAGGAATCAATGATTTAATTTTCCGGGATAAATTTTTCAAAAGTTCCGTAGACATATATTTACCTGCTGTTCATTTTTAACCCTTTCAGTTTTTCTCTAACTGCTTTAGTTTTAGCGCTATATCCCCCCTCCCCCCCCCCCCCAAAATTAAAAAAAAACTGCATTTTACCTCTATTTTTTATTTTTAGCAACAGTGGTTATGTCTGTTGATAGATCATTACCCCGGATATAAATTGTTTACTACAATCCTTAATTACCATCCCTTTAAAATTTAGTAACAGTTGGTCTAGTAGTTTTGGGATGGAAAGATTTTTTTTGAATTTTTGCGACGACGATGGACAACAAGTGATATCAAAAACCAACATGACCTTTTAGGACAGGTGAACTAAAACGTTTGGATTCAGAAGATTACTTTAGACGGTTTTACATATTCTTTTTTTTTCCTTAAAAGTGACTTTGGCGGATTTGCCGAAACATGTTTACAATCTTTCCCAGGTGCCTTGTTTGTAGTTCCGAATAAATCACGTGCTATCTTCTGATATGTAATGACAGTTTTGATTTCTTTGAATTTCTCGTCATTGTGTGAACAAAAAATGTAATAATTGTCGTTTTAAAAAGTACATTTGTGTTCGTATTGGGGAGGAATCTAATTTCATGAAATAAACACATTCTCTTTATCGCACATCCGTAAAAAGTATTTCAAAGCAACAAATGCCATGGTCAAATTCGAGTTTAGTGCTCTATAAACTACACTGTATTAATAAGATTAATTTCTTATTATATCAGCATCTGATTCGTCACTCCTCTGCATGTTGTGACGTTGCGAAAAAGAACATATTGCATTTAAAATGTTATACTAAATAAGCAAGTACTCTCATATCTGTAATTATTGTCGTTTTTGTTGTAGGGAGTGTATAACGTCCATGCCATGTCCGATATGTGTTTTTGTTGTAGGGAGTGTATAACGTCCATGCCATGTCCGATATGTGTTTTTGTTGTGGGGAGTGTATAACGTCCATGCCATGTCCGATATGTGTTTTTGTTGTGGGGAGTGTATAACGTCCATGCCATGTCCGATATGTGTTTTTGTTGTAGGGAGTGTATAACGTCCATGCCATGTCCGATATGTGTTTTTGTTGTAGGGAGTGTATAACGTCCATGCCATGTCCGATACACGTCCATGCCATGTCCGATATGTGTTTTTGTTGTAGGGAGTGTATAACGTCCATGCCATGTCCGATATGTGTTTTTGTTGTAGGGAGTGTATAACGTCCATGCCATGTCCGATATGTGTTTTTGTTACTTGTTTTTCTGCTTTGTATCGATCTGATGAGTTAAGCCCTTTGAACTGAATTTATATTTTGTTCTTATGTTGTACTGTTACACCACTGTCCCAGATTAGCGGGAGGGTTTGGCACCAGCAATTATATTCAACCTCGCCACATTCTGTATTTGCCTGTCCTAACTCAGGAGCCTGCATTTCAGCGGTTGTCGGGTTTTGCTGTATTTAATATTTGTTTTTTGTTGATTGTTTTGAACATAAATCTGGCCGTTAGTTTTCTTGCTTGAATTGTTTTTATTGGTCATTTCATTACCTTTTATAGCTTACTGTGCGGTATGGATTTTTTTGCTCATTGTTGAAGGCCGTACGGTGACCTATAGTTCTTAACGTCTACTGGTCGAGAGTTGTCTCATAGTCAATCATATTACTTCATGCTATTTTCATATTATATTATTGTCACATAACTACAAAATGAGTGGTCATCAACATTTGAATACATTGTGTAGAACAACATGTTTTTTTCCTATATGACGATGGTATAAGTTTATCAACATATCATAATATATTTACAAAGCATTATATAGGTGTAACACGTGCATATGATCGAAAATACGCAAACATGCTGATTGTAAATGAATGCACATCTGCATTACCAAATCTGTTTATGCAAAAGTATATATATTTCGCAAATATTCAAATGTACGTTCAGTGTACTATTCTTTCCATATGAAATTGAAATATCAAAATATTATAATCAGTTTTTCATATCCAAAGCTGATCGAAATCGATCAGATATCGATTGTATTCACTGTATCTCAGATTTGTTTCGCTATTCCATTTTTTTTTTCTTCATTCTATTTGTGTTGATATCAAAACACTAGTTGATAGATTATCTGGATAACGGTCATCAGGAACTCTTAACACCATAAGAACTCGCTGCCAATCCAACAGGCACGCTTAGAACTCTCGGTGACACCGACTAAATTGAGTTAATCAAACAGGCTTTGTTTTTATTGGTATTTATATTGATTTTATTATCCGTAAATAAAAAACAAACTAAATATTGTTGTTATATACATATGCATATTCATGGCTCAACAATCTGTTGATACCTGTATCTTGGCATTGCACAAGGTCATGTTTTTCTCTGACTGTTTATGACATCTTTACACTAAATCCATTGGATGTTTGATGTGTACTGATTGATAATTTAGTCTTAGATGCATGATTTTGTTTATTGGCTTTTATTGGCTTTGAACTAGCTGTCAGTAACTGCGAGTACTCTCAAATCTGTCTTTTTGTTGTGGGGATGTATAAGTACCCGTCCTCGTCCACTCGGTGTTTTTTGTTAGATGTATTTCTATTTGTATCCATCTGATGAGTTAAGCCTTTTTCAACTGATTTTTATAGTTTGTTCTTATGTTGTACTGTTACACCACTGTCCCAGGTTAGGGGGAGGGTTAGTGCCTTCAAACGAGTTTAACCCCGCCACATTCTGAATGTACCTGTCCCAAGTCAGGAGCCTGTAATTCAGTGTTTGTCGTTTGTTGCTGTGTAACATATTTGTTTTTCGTTCATTATTTTGTACATAAATTAGGCAGTTAGTTTTGTCGTTTGAATTGTTTTACATTTGTCATTTCGGGGTCTTTTATAGCTCATTATGCAGTATGGGCTTTTGCTCATTGTTGAAGCCGTACGGTGACCTATAGTTGTTAATTTCTGTGTCATTTGGTCTCTTGTGGAGAGTTGTCTCATTATTTGTTACGTTTGAATTCCATTCTGCATCAACATTTTTTCTGACACTCTGTTGGAGATTTGCTTTCTCAAATAACGTTATCTTACATTCCAAACTATTGATATATGAACAAAATAGTTTATACAAAAATGAAGGAAGAAAACAATTCTGACGAATCATAACTTTTGTTTTTGCCTGTCAGGTTTATGATATCGTGTTTTTCCCTATTGTTTCAGATCAATGATTTTTTAGGCTCGAGTAAATGAACTGTTGGAAGATAATAATATTCATTTGTATTAAATATTGGGTATTTTTTTTCTTCAGTTCTTAGCAGGCCAGAATATGTATTTAATAATCCTCCTGACTGATGTCATTCACGCATTTTATCATCAGTCCAAGTTTACGTTTTCAGTTCCATTCATGTGTTTTTTTCGTTTCTTGACCAATTAGAAAGGCTCGGTTTGAGGCTTCTTTTATACAAATTTATCTAAATTATATTCTTTTCTATTCTAATATACATCAATCATTTTACGCAACAAGAAATGAAAACCAAAGTTTTTGAATTAAGATTACTTATTCCAACAGCAACAGAGGCCACACAATATACT